GGTTTTGGTTTTTACTCAGAGGGAAACGAGGAGCCACGGGAATCGGTGAATTAGTCCATAGCCTCTACATGGTAGACAGCCTGTGTCTAGTTTTATCACCTATAACATGAGGAAAATACTATAAAGTCCTGAAACTCTTTAGAGGATTCAGTGAGCTATTTGGGACCCAGGACCAAAACTGAGGCAGGAGGAAGAGTAGGTCGGCAGAAACATATACGTGGTATATATCCTTTTGTATGAATAAGGTAGTACATAAAAATATAAGCATCAGGTGTGTCCCATTCCGGGGACTGAACTGTCTACTCACCGGGGCTTCCCCACTCAGTGGGAAGAACAAGCAAGGGACAGGGTGGCCAGAGGTGGCTGACCCTCCACGGAGGCTGCCAGGCGAGAGCCCTGGTACTGGAGCAGGGCCCAGTGGCAGCCTCAGGGCTCAGGGCTGCTGAAGGACCTGGCGTCTGCCTAAGGCCAGTCTGGCCCTCTCAGACACCCAGCACAGCCTATTCTAGGGCTCGTCCCAGGGTCTCCCTTCATTCCGAGTCCTCTTCATAGGGAGGCCTGCTAAAGCATCACCTGGCCTGAGAGATGAGTCTTACCCAGTGGTGCTCAGATGTGCGGCTGTCCACACATGGCCCAGGGCCTGACTGGCTGGCTCCCTGAGATTTAGCTTCTGGCCCAAATTCTGCTCTGATGCACACCTCTGGGCCATCAGGCTCCTTCTGCCTGTGACCCCCTTGTATTTATCAATGACAACATTTTTTGAGAGCTTCCTTGTGGGTCAGGCCTTATGCTACTAATAATATTACTAGCTAAAATCTATAGTCTTACCACATGCCAGGCCCTGTTCTAAGCACTCATTGAATCTTCTAAACAGTCTTATGAGTTCATGTTATTTTCCTTGTGTTATAGATGATAAAACTAGGCAGAGAGAGGTTAAGTAAGTTGCTTAAGATCACACAGCTATTCAGTGGCAGTGCCAAATATTCACACACACAGTTGTCGCAGCAGTCCTGCCCAGCCGGCAGATGAGCCAGGCACAGGGAGTTTTTGTGCCTTGGTGAACGTCACACTGGGAAGTGTCAGAGCCGTGAAAGCAGTGTGGTCTGTCTGACCCCCAAAGGGGCCCTGGCCTGTGACACCTTGCATCCTCCCAAGTTTACTTTCACTGATGGGCTGAGAGGTGGGCCTCCTTTTACAGATGGGAAAAGTGAACAGTGTCTGAGCATGGTGCTCAAGAGAGGGCATGTGGGAAAAGGCAGAGCAGAGCTGGGACTCAGCCCGGGGCTTTTCATCCCCCGGGCTGGTGTTTTTCCTCTGCGGCCCTCCTCCCGGGCTTTGAACTCTTCCTTCCTGGCACTCAACAACTGTGGCCCCGCCTTCTCCTCATACCCTGAGCTACCCAGTCTCCCCACCCTTGCATTTGTGTGGCATTTACATAGAACGCCCAGTGATGACCATCTTGTCAATGGGACAACGCCCCAGCCCCTTCTTTCAACCCTCCTCACAGATTCTCCATGGCCTTATAGGAAAAAGAGAGGTGAGGACTTTTCTCCTCCCCAGGCGACTCCCAACCCAGGATCAAAGATGGGTGGGAGGGGGTAGAAACAAATCCTGCTAAACCCCACGTGGGGTGTAGGGTGGGGTGCATATGGTCAACAGCAGAGAGATCCGATAATCATGAGACTCCAGGCCTCGTCCACCCCCACTCTCCTGGGAAGGGTTGGGCTGTGCTTAGCCTCGGGGTCTCACACCCTGTGTCTGGGAAACTCAGAGGTGTGGCCCCCGCTCCAACAGAAGCTAGCCTTTCCCCTGCCCACCCCCCAGCCTTCCTGCCTTCACCAAGGCCCATCTCGGTTTCTCCTAGGGATTAGTTCCAAGCCTCAAAGCTGGAACATCACAGGGCCCAGGGATTCCTCTCGCCAGCCCAACCTAAAAATGGGGGACTCGAATTCCAGTCTTCATTCTGTCACCGATGTAGGGGGTGACCTTGAATAAGATTTTCCCCTCCCTGATTCCATCCTGATGTCACACCTGAAGCTTCTAATTTCTGTTTCCTGGGCTCAGGATTCCCATGCAACCCCACGGAGTGCCCCACAGGATTAGAGCTGTGTCAGAGCTTGAAAAATAATCAGAAAATGGGTGTATGCTTCTTCTCTTTTTAAAAATCATCTAGGTTTTAATTCTCTAAATAATAATAGTGGTAACATTTGAAAATTGCTATCACTTTTCAATGAGGAAACTGAGGTCCAGGGCAGGCTAGTGACTCACCTGAGGTCACCAGAAGCGTTAGTGGCACACTGTAATCTACGACTTAGAGTTCTCGGCTTCCTTTCCCACGGTTCTCACCCTCACCACATCTCTCCCATTTCTTGCTGGCTGCCCTAGCCCCAGCCTCAGCTCACCAGTCAAGATTACCTTGTGGAAACTGAGGCCAGGTAGGCATAGATGAGCCCAGACCCACCCTCCAAGGATATGGACAGAGGCTGGCAGTGCCCTCACTAGGCCTCTGGCTTCTTGCCAAGGATCTGCTAAGATCATGAGCCCAGGGCCATGCCCAGGTGCCCCCTTTACATCCCTCAGCACCTTAGCCGGAGCCTTGGCCAGAGTGGGAGAAGGCTGGCAGTGAGAGCCCAGGGCTCAGGCTGGTCCCAGACATGCTGCTCCACAGATTTCCAGCCATGAGCAGAACCTCAACGAGGCACTTGTGGCACAAGGCAGATTTGTTGGGTGATTTATTATGAACCTGCTGTTGTTAGCTACTGGGGGTACATCACTGCACAAAGCAGGCAAAAGTTCCCACCTTTGTGGAATCCATATCCTAGGACATGGAGACAGACCAAAAATAAATGAGAAAATGTTAAATATCTAAAAATAGAATATATCTAAAATGCTATATTAAAAAAATGCAGGAAAGGGGATAGAGAGGGCCAGGGGCAGGGTTGTATTTTTTTAGTAGGGTGAAGACCCTATTTGAGAAGGTGACATTTCAGCAGAGATCGTAAGGAGAGAGTAAGTTTTGCTGATATCTAGAAGAAGGGTGTTCTAGGCAAAAGGAACAGCAAGTGCAAAGGCCCTGAGGCAGGACCATGCCTGGCATGTTCTAGGAGATATGAGGAGGTCAGTATGGCTGGAGTGGTATGAATGAAGATAGAGTGAGCAAAATAAACAAATGTTAAATGCCCATTGGAGACAAGCCTTATGGGAGGAAAGGATAAGCCATTCAAGGAGGAAGCTCATGACAGGGCCTACACAAATAGAGAAGGTTGAGGGGCAGGAACTCCAGAGAAGACAGCGAGGGCATTCTAGGCAGAGACCAGCTTGTACAAAGGCAAAGAAGTATGAGGTGGCTCATCATGTCAAGCATGAAGCTCCAGAGGTTGGAGCAAGAATTGAGTTGAGAGTGAGAGGTGAGACCAGAGGAGTCAGCTACAGCCAGATCGAGAAGGCCAGAGGAGCAGCAAGGGACAGGTCTCAGGGAACCCTAAGAGAAGGTTGGGAGGGCCAAGAGGTTGTGGCCAGAGAGTAGGAGATGGGGTTCAAGGTTTGCAAAGTCGCGAGTGGCTGTGGTCAGGGAGTGAGTGGGATGGACATGCCTCTAGGATGATGGCAAGACTTGGGGATGTGAGGAAAAGCAGCCAGGGCCTCTCTCCTTACCATGAGCCTCAGGATGTGTAGCGCCCTCCTGCTGGGAGCCCCAGGTACATGGGATGTTGGGAAATGAGCTGCCATCCACCACTGGGGGGCACTGCAAAGGAAACCAGTCTGGGCTAGGCAGGTGCCAGCCAGTCTTCCTTTTCCCTCCCCTCCAGCAGTCCTCTTGGATTGCTCTTTTGTTGGCGCTGGAACTTCCCTGGCAGTTGGTCCCCGGCTACCCAGGCGAGGCTGAGGGAGGGGAAGCCCCCTTGGTTTCTGTCTCACAACAGGGACCCAATAGGGAAACCCCACAGGTCCCAAAAGGAAAGTGGCAGCAATGGGCCTCGGGGAAGACCAAGAAACCCCCATCTTCTCCCTGAAGATGGGAAATCCAGGGTGGGGCTTAGGGTGCGGTTGTGCTGGAAGGGAGATCTGAGGTTGATGAAACCCCGCCAGAGCAGAAATGCCAGGACTATTCTGGAGCCTGGCTGAGCTCTGATCCTGACCTCACACAACCCCAACCTGGTCATAGGCTGGGCCTTGACCCTGCTCATCAACTATCCCAAGCCCAGGTCTGAGCTTTGACCTGAGCTGCAGGCTTAGTCAGAATCTTGACCGCAGACAAACTTGTGTTCCTGAACTGGACTGAGCCCAACCCTAATTCATCCCAAGCAGAGCCCCCAGGTCGCTGAGAGCTCTGACCCCAAACACAGAGCCAGGATGTCGGCCCCAGACAAAGCTCTGAGTCCAACCCTACATCATGTACTGATCTTGATTATAGAATGAGCTTTAATTCAAGATCTGATTCTGGTGAAAGACTGGGTTCTTGGCCCTGAATAAAATGTAACAGCCAGCCCTGACCCTGGCACTGATCCCTGACACTGCCCAGACTGAGGGCTCTCTGCCCCATACAGAACCCCATCTCATCTACCCAGTGAGCACCAAGTTCCCTTATAGTTTCTTCCTTAGCCATCTAGTAAACCAGAAGGGAGTAAGACCTCCAAGTCCCCTCCGATAGGCAGTCTTTTTAGCTGGTCATTCATTTATCTTTTCGAGGACATTAGTTCAGTGATGGCACTAGAATGATAATGACAGCAGAGAAAGAGGAGAGAATTCAAGTCTCCGGGACCTACCAGCAAAGAGAGCAGGGTGGCTCACCCAAGAGTGGGGAATTGGGGGGAAGACTGAACCTGGGAGCTCAGCAGGGGTCAGCAGCTTGGATTGACCGAAACCCCAGCTTCCCGCCATCCCCCACCACACCTCCCACCCCCTCTGGGAAGGGAAATTACATTTCCCCATTTTAGCAAGGGGTGGTGAGGAGGGAAGACTGAGTTAAAGCAAAGCTGAAAGTACAAGCAGGACGGAAAGTGAAACTGGGCACAGCCCCCGTATAAGATGCCCCCGACCCGGGAGATGGCTGATCAAAGAGACTGGGCCCTGCCATGGGCCAGAAGGCAGGCGACCTTGGCTGGCGTGAGTTTGAGGCCAGGGCTTGGGGCAGAGGGGTGGGAGGCTTGGCTGAGACTGGACCAAGGACGGGAGAGATTGACTGGTGTGGATGGGGGCAAAGTGTTGAGGGGCAACTACTTGGCAGAGACTAAGGATATAAGGTACGGCTCACTGGAAGATGGGGACAAAGACTGGCATGAACAAGGAACAGGGGTTGGACAGACAGGTGGTGGTTCAGCCAGGGCTGGGCAAAGCATGAGACAGTTTGGCTGGCTCGAATGAGGGGCAAGAGTAGAGGGCTGGTGGTTGGGCTAGGGCTGGACAGAGGATAGGAAGACTTGACTGGTATGAATGAGGAGAGTTGGACAGATGGGTTGACCAGGACCAGAGCCTGGCAGATAAGTGGAGGGTTTGGTTGGAGTGAATGAGCAGAGGCCAGACAGCTTGGCTGAGAGCCGGTGCTGGCTAAAGGAAAAATAGCCAAGAGTTGGCACAAGTAGGGGTTCTGTGGCCAAGGAGTCAGCAGTCTAACTGGGTCAAGGGTCTGTAGTTTGAGGTTCAGGAAGAGGTCCAATCTACAACTGGTAACTGAAGGACTCAGAGGCTGGAACAAGAGCAGATGGTAAGGTCAGGGTAGGAACCAAGGGCTAAAAGATGGGAACAGAACCATCAAAGGCCAGGGCCAAGGACCCAGAATTGTCTGCAGATGTTAGAGAGAAGCCAGGGGAAGGGTCTGGGGCCTCCAGAGCTCCAGAAGGAAGTGGAGGGCTGGTAGCAAATGACACAGCTCAATTCTGAGTGGACAATATCCACCAGGGTCTGGGGCACTGCTCTCCCTCTACACAGAGCTGGGCAGAACCCGACTCCGCCCACAGTCTCAAGGATGCCAGAGTGGCCCCGAGTCAGAGATCCTGGAAGTTAGAGAGCCAGGCACTGGCCACCCCCTCTGGAAGTCCATGGGGAAAGTGGACCTACCCAGAAACTCCCTTTGGTCTTTATTTAGTAGACACTCAGGGAGCGGAGCCCAGGGGTTAGAGATCTACAACAGACAAGGGAGGAGGGATGCAGAAGAGGGTGAGCAGGAATAGACTTAGACTTCAGGCCTGTTTTGGTTTGTGTTTCAAGGAGAATTGTGTAACTCGGGTGATTGCTAGATTTCCTCTCCCTGAGGGAGAAACCACAGAACACTGCCCTCTTCCCAGAGCTCCCGTCCCAATGACCCTCTTCCTCTTGTTCAGGAAACACAGGGCAGAGAGCCTTTTCAGAATTCAGCTGGTCCGCTTCCCACATTTTATAGATGGGAGCTCGAGGCCCAGAAATAAGAGTTGACTTGCTCAAAGAAAGAACCCAAATGAGAAACAGAGGTTCTGTTTCACAATCCAGGCCCTCCTCTCCATCCTGGCACCCCCTTTTTGTCCCTCACTGTAGAGTTACCCACCCGCCTTGGTAGAGAGGAGACCAATCTGTTCTTCTGACTCTCTGGGATAGAGCCTCCAGCATTGCCAGCCACCCCTGGCGTCCTAGCTTGGGCCATCAGAGACACCTGGCCAACCCTCGGGAATCCTTGGCAGAAGAGAGTGTGCCTGCTCCAGGGGAGGTGGCTGCCTCCTCTGAGTTCCCTGGGGAAGCTCACGGGATCTGCATTTGGGCAGATCTGGAATTCTGTCCGGATTCCCTCACCCTCTGTCTATGTACCTTGGCAAGTCAACCTCTTGAACCTCATTTTCTTCATCTGCAAAATGGGAAGAATTGTAGCACCCAGGCTGCCACGTAGAATTGTGCAGTTAGTTCACTGAAAAAGACACTTGGCCAAGGGACTTGGTGGGAGATTGAAATCCAGATGGAGATCTGCTTGCAAAGGTGGGCACTCTGTGCAAGGCTGTGTCTGCCTAGGGGAAAGGGCACTTTCCTTTCAGTCACAGAGAGATGCCATATGGTGTCTTCAGTAGCTTCCATCTCATTCATGGTTTTGAGGGGTCAGTGAGATGAAACACAGTGCTTGGCCTGTGTTCTTGAGTTCTTCTTAAGCTCTCCTCTTATTTTGTCTACCTTCTCCCCATCTGTCCAGGGCTCAGCCTTTTGCTGCTCTCCCTGCTCCTGGTTCGAGCTGGTGTCTGGGGATTCCCGAGGCCCCCAGGGAAGCTACCCCTGAGCCTGCAGGAGTTGCAGGAGGAGTTCAAGGTCAGCCTGCATCTTGCCAGGAAGCTGCTCTCCGAGGTTCGGGCCCAGGCCCACCGTTTTGTGAGTTTCCCTAATGCAACTGGCTCTGGGGATGGGCGGATCCCTAATCCCTTCTGGCCCCTACTAACAGACCTTGCCCTACAGGCTGAATCTCACTTGCCAGGAGTGAACCTGGACCTCCTGCCCCTGGGAGGGCACCTCCCCAATGTTTCCCTGACCTTCCAGGCCTGGCGCAGCCTCTCTGTGAGTGAGGGGCTGGTGGGGTGGGCAGGTGAACTGGCAATAAGGCTAGGCTGGTGGTTAGAAATGAAGTGAGGGATTGAAATGAAGGTGGATTTGGGAATAAATTAAAGGACAGAATCTGGATGAGATTGAGCATGTCATTGGATATAAAGATGAAGCTGAATGAAGAAATGGAGTTGAGAAGGTAAAAGTGAAGTGGGCATGGGTAAAAAGGTAGGTATTGGAATAGAATGGGATAGGGACTAGAAATTAGAATGTGTGGTAATAGGAAGAAGGTTGGGGATGAAAGTGAAAATAAAGTGGAGGATGGAGAAGGGATGGGGATTACCAGTGAGTATGGGAATAGAATGGGGTTGGGATGGAGTTGGAGAAGAGGGATGATGAGAATGAAGCTAGACATATGGATGAGGGATGGAACTGGGATTAGGAATAGGAATAAGGACAGGAAAGAGGTTGGAGACAGGCTGAACACAAGTGAAGAGATGGAGATAGGATGGGATGGTGGAGAAAGTAATAAAATGGGGTAAAGTAGGGCTATGGATAGAGAGTGATAAGACAATGGAGATGGGGTTGAGGTAAGACATGAGTTCAGGTGTAGGACTGAAAATGAGGTTGGAAAAGGAGAGAGAAGTCACAGACACCGGAGACTGGAATGATGATGAGTGAGGGGAATGGAGAAAAAAATTAAGTTGAGGATGAGAAGAGATATTTAGATGGAATGGGGGATTGGAGTTTGGGATGGGAATGGGACCCAGAGAGACATGGGATTGGGTTTGAAGTGGGTCATCCTTGGCCTGCGGACCCTTCCTGACCCCTTCCCTCTGCTTCCACAGCACCCAGAGAGGCTGTTATTCCTTTTCATGACACTTCACCCCTTCCAAGCCCTCTTGGGAGGACTGAGCAGCCAGGGGATCTGGGCCAGCACAGAGAGGAAGAAGCTGTGGGCCGTGAGTTTGGATCTCCGAGATTTGCAGCGGCATCTTCGCTACCAGGTAGAGTACGCACCCACCCTCCTTGAACCCCATAGACCAAAGCTGAGGGCCACTGGCCCCCTTTTAAAAATACCGCCACTCCCACAGGTGGGGTAAGTCTAGAAGGGGATGCTCCAGATCCTGAGTGCAGATGTGTGAAAGGTGGAAGTGTGTGAGGGGCGGGGGGGGGGGGGCTGTACCAGGCCCTGGCTCTACACCCTAAATCTCTGCCTTCTCTTGGGATCTTGGCCTTAAATGAGGGAACAGCTCTGAAGCACCCAGCACAAAATCTGGCATCAACAGGACCAGTAATAAAGTTGATTCCCTTCTCTGCATCATCCTCTGACATCACCGGGTCCTCCTGAATATTTCCAAGGGAAATAAGAAGTTTACCTTTACTGAAAGGAGAATCAAAAATGCAAGCAATAGAAAACTAGCTACATGACCCTTCCACCCATTTCTGATCCTAAGACGATCCTTAAGAGAGGACTTTCCAAAACCTCAAACACCTAGAGCAATCCTGGATGAGTGAGACAGCTGCCTCCACGGGAATCATCTCACTCTGTGACTTCCATTTTCTTGAACCAAAAAAGCAGGCAGGACAACATGAGATGACAACATAATGGAAGATCTGAAGTAGGGGTTGTCCAGGGAAATCATGACTTCGTGGTCTCTGATGTCATTTGGCACCACTAGGCACATAAAGGAATAAGAATACACTCTGCATCTCAGCCTATTTTCTGATCCACGGGCCTCTTCTCACAGATGCTGGCTGCAGGATTCAACCTCCCTGAGGAAGAGGAGGTAGAGGAAGAGGAGGAGAGCAAAGGGCTGCTCCCAGGGACCCCGGGCAGCCCCTCACAGATGTCAGCCCAGGTGTCCTGGCCCCAGCTCATCTACACCTACCAGTTGCTACACTCCTTGGAGCTTGTCTTGTCTCGGGCCGTGAGGGACTTGCTGCTGCTTTCCCAGGCTAAAAACCCAGTCCTGGCCTCGGGGTGTCCAACACTGGATGGCTCCCACTCCTGATGAAGTGGTTTCTTAGCCCCTTCCCTCTCCGGTTAAGAGTTTAGGACTGGAGTTGGGGCCAACAGGACAGCCTCCAGCTCACCGCCTTAAGACAAGGCAGGACTCTACCGACCTCCATTCCCAGACCCTACCCAATAACTTAAGGCTCCTCCAGTCTTTGCTGGATATTTATTTCTTAGATATTTATTTATTGTTTAGGGAAATAATGGTTTATTTATTGTTTCAGGGCCTGCTGGTTGTCCTAAGGCTAGGCCACCAGTCCGGGTGTCTAATAAAACACTCACCCTTTCTCTGCCTTGGCTTCTTTTCAGAGAAGGGGTTTCTGACACTCACAGTGGGGCTAGAATGGACTCAGCAGCCTTTGGCCACCCTGGACCTCTCTCTGCTCCTACATTTTTGGGGTTCCTGGCCCACCTCTCCCCACTCTGGCTTGCTCAATTGGTGGCTGCCATAGTAACCAGCAGAGTTCAGAGGCTGAGCTCCCATTTGCAAAGCTCAAGGTGGCTGGTCTGCCTACATCAACCTTTGGTTGTAAACAGAGCTCCATAGACCCTCCTAGCCCCTTTCCTCTGGGCTGGCTCCCACCCCAGAGGTTTGCCTTCCTCCCACACAGCTCTCCAAGGGCTTGGGAAGGGGGTTAAGGAGTGGGGTCAGGCAGAGAGGAAAGACTGTGGGAGGACTGTCTCTGTTCCCTCTCCGTCTTCCAGACAGTGGCGGAGACAGACTGAGGAGGTAGTCAGGACAGGCCATGAGAAGTGGTGCCAGTCCAGCAGGTGGTCCAGCAGCTGCGTTGGAGAGTCAGATTCCTTAAGTTCATGGTTATCAGAGCTGTCTGGTTCTGTCTGCTCTGTGAATTCAGCTCCAAGAAATTCAGGCTCAGATAGTAGAAAGGGTGCTTTCAAAGTGGCCAAGGGAGTCAAGCTGAACAGGGTTCAACCAAGCCCTCAGACTCTCACTCAGGGCCTGGCTCTCAGGGCCCAGTCACTGCGGCTTTGGCCGGCCCAGTCTGGCTTGGAGTTCCTGCATCATGCCGGAGTGTGCAAGGCCAAACCTGGAGGGGGAAGACAGGCCAGGGAGCTGGTCTCCAGGTGTCCACAGCCTCCTGCCCATCCCAGCCCAGTCACCTCACCCCAAGCTTACCCGTGTCCCAGGGGACTTCTCCTGGCTGGCACTGGAGTCCCCTCAGGGCATGTGGGGCTTGGCTCTGGGGGTCCCTCTGGCTGGAGAGGTCTCTGCTCAGGGGCAGACAGCTTTTTCTCTGGTGGGGGGCTGGCAGGCTCCTGCTGCTGCTCAGAGGTGGGGATCCTTCGGAAAGAGGGCCGGGAGCGACGCCGCAAGGAGCTGCGGGAGAGGAGTACACGGCTCCGAGGCATAGACACATCCAGGCAAGATGCAGGAAGGAGGGCCTGCAGGGATGGGAGCACTGGGTGTGATGGGGCTGGCTTTCAAGATCCTGCTCTGTTTGGCTCAGGACCCTGCCTGGAGCCCTCACCTTACTCCAGCCGCCATGAGCATCCCCTGGGGCACTTCCCACAGCCTCTTCTTGTGGCCCAGGCTCAGCCTCTGCAGGGTGCTGATTCGTCAACTGGTCCTCCTGGCCCTGGACGTCCTCCAGGTCTTCTGGGTCAATCTCCTCGGCCTCTGCCCTGTGATGTCTAGTCACCTGGACATCTTCCACATCACAGGACATTTGTGCCTCTTCCTCAGGAGTCTGGTTCCCATGCTGCCCTTCACTGCCTTCTCCCTGCTCCCTTACTTGCCATATCCCTGCCTCTTTTTCCAATAGCATCTGCCCTCCTGGGAGCACCTCGGCTTCCACCATGGCCATGGTCCCCTCTGCCCCTGCTGCCTGGGAACCCAAGGTAAAGCCATCCATCCCACAGCTTCCTTCTGCCACTACAGAATCCCCAACCTCCACCCACTCTCCCCCTGGCTCACCCTTCTGAGCCTCAAAAGCTTCCACTTGGCCACCTCTGCCAGTAACTTCCTCTGCTGAGCCCCCAGGGCCAAATTCCTGCCCACCTTTGTTCTCTCCCTCTGCAGCCTCCACTAGCTCCTCACCTCCGCCAGCTTCCTCTCTCCCGTCTGAGTCCCGGCCTCTCCCAAATGCTTCATCCCCAGCTTCCTTGGCCTCTCTTCCAGGCCCTTCCCTAGTCCCAGCAACCCCTTCATCTGAAGCTGCCTTATTGTCCACAATCTCAGCAGCCAAAGAACTGGCCCCTGTATCATCCTCACTGTCCTGCAGGCTTGAAGCTGCCTCCTCCAGCCTCCAGTCTCTCCTGGGAGTTCTGCCTACGTCCCAGAACACTTCGGCCTCTGCCTCCTCATCCTTGTTTTTTCTGACATCTGACTCTCCCAGTGACTGGACTGTCCCTACTTCTACCCCACACCTTCCATCTAGCTCCTGGCTCTCTGCCTCACACCCTGCTTCCTTTACTTTCTTCCACTCTCCGTCTGCCTCCAGGACCTCTATCGATACAGACTCTCTGCCTCCTGCAGCCTTCCCCTCCCCCTCTTCAGTACCTACTTTTCCCTCCTGCGCATTCCCTCTCTCTACATCCCTTCTCTGGTTTTCCCAGGCTTCTGCTTCAGAGATATCAGGCTTTCCATAACCCATGTTCCTGAAATTATTCTCCAGGCTCTTTTCTGTCTCCTTTTTGCTCAGGGCTGGAATGTTCCAGAGCTCTTCCTTACCATCCTGTCCTTCTGGTTGCTCTGTTGGGATCTGGAGACCTCCTATCAGCTCAGGTTCCCAGCCTTCAGTGACCCAGTGCTTGGGGCCACCGTACTCTACCCCCAATTCTTCTAGACCCATCTGACCTTCCTCCTCACTCCTCTCCTCCCTGAACTCCTTTTCAGGTCTGGTCTCTGGGGTTGCCTCAAAGTCAGCAACACTTTCAGCCTCGTTTGCTACTTTGTCCTGGGACAGCTCAGCCTCTATGGCCTGGACATTCCCTTTCTCCTCCTTGGCCTCCTCTGCCTGACTCTCCTCCTCCTCCTCCAGACTCTCTTGAGGAGCCATGATCTCTGAATTTTGTGTCTCCTTGTCTTCTTTCCCATCCTGATCTGCCTGACCCTCACGGCCCTCCCCTGCCTCCCATTCCGAGCCCTGGCCTTCGGCAGCCTCCTTCCCTGCCACCTGGTCCTTAGCCTCCTGTCCCACTCCTTCAGTTCTCTGGCCCCATTTCTGTTTCAGGAACAGGCTCACCTCAACCTCTCTATTTTCATTCATCTCCTCCTTCTGGGCTCCCTTGGAGGCCTCCTCTATGGCACAGACTATCCTAGTACCCTCTGGGATCCTATCTCCTGGGATGGCCTCATATTCTGTCTCCTTGACTCCTAGGAGGTCAGTCTCCTCCCTGTATGAAGTTGTCCTAGCCTTCCTCCCACCAGAGGTTGTCCCAGTCTCCTCGCTGCCTGAAGTTGTCCTAGCCTCCTCCCCACCTAAGGTTGTCTTGGCATGCCCCCTGTTTGAGGTTGTCCTAACCTCCTCTCTGCCCAAGGGGGCCCCATCTTCAGATTCTGCCCCTGGCTCTTGTGTCACCTGTGCCCTTGTGCTTTGGCCATCCCTCACAACAGCCACCACATCTTCTTCCCTCTCGGCCTCTTTCGCCCCAGCCCCCTGGGTCTCCTGTGCAACTGCCTCCTTGACTGACTGTTCTGATGCCCTGCCATCCCTGCCAGTGCTGGCCTTGCCCTCAGGCTCTCTGCGCCAAGTCCACTCTGACTCCACCCCTCTGGCCCCCCCTGGCTCTCTTGCCCTGACCTCTTCCTCCTCCTCCTCCTCCTGTTCCCAGGTTCTCGGTGTCTCTTCTCTGTTCACTTCCTGCTCATTGCTCTCCCGACTCCCCTGGGCTTGGCTGCTCCTGTCTCCAGCAGCCTCAGACCCTGCCTCAGACTTCCTTCTGACCTCCAGTGGGGAGCTTGGATCCTGGCACCTGAAGGCCTTGGCTGCCTCCCAGACCCCAGCGTCTTGCCTATCTCCTTGAGACCCGTGGGAGCTGCCTTCTTCCCAACTCCAGGTCTGTTCTGTAGCTGAGCTTCCTTCCTGGTGACTTCTAGCCACTTCGGACCCTCTCAGTCCTCCATCCCCCTTGCTTTGGCTGCCTCTGAGGCTCTCCAGGGCCTCCTGAGCTTCCTCCTCTGCAGTTCTCCCTGGCCTTCCTGTGGCCACTTCCCCCAGTTCCTCAGCTGCCCATGCCTCCCTTCTCTCTGCAGTAGGAACCTCATCTCCTATAAGGTAGGAGACAAAGGAGCTGAAGGAATCCTAGAAGAACAGGCAGGGGGAGGGACAAAGGCATTAGGGGGAGGCCCCGCCCTCTCCTGGGGACCCTTGGAAAGAGAAACTCAGAACAGGAAGAGGGGTTCTGGGATCTGGGAGGAAGAAGACAATAGGGTCTGCAGAAGGAATAGGAAATGGCCTAGATTGGAGGTATGTGTATGTTTTTTTGGAGTTGGGAGGATTGAAATCCAGAAAAGATCGGGCTAGGAGGCTGCCTGATCCTTAGGGAAAGAATCTCAAGTCTGAGGAGAGACTCAAAGGGAAGAGGGAAGGTGAGGCCCCGAGGAGCAGCATAAAAGTCTCTGGCATCTCTTTGCCCCTCTCACCAGTGCCCCCCTCAAGGCCTGATGCAGCCCAGGGAGATGTAGCCGGAGGAAATCCATCCTGTCTGCTCTCTGTGTGTCCAAAAAGCTGATAATGACCGTCCCCACCCACCAACAGAAGCCCGTCTTCCTCCTGGACCCAAGACACTTCCTCTTCCCCAGTCTCCCCTGACGCATCTTTACCCCAGGCCCTACCCACCTTCCACAACGCCACAGCCGCTTCCAGCCCAGCCTGGGAAATGAGTGTGCGCCACACAGGGAACTCGGGTGCACATTTGGAGCTAAAGGGCAAGGGAGGAAGCCTGAAAGGGAAAAAATGGGAGCAGAAGACCTCAGAATTGGGGAGGAGGGAGAGGGTATATGGCAACTGCAGCTCAAGTGACTCAGGTCTTTATTCACACCTCAGCCATTTCCGTCACCCCCCCCCCCCAAGCCACAGCCACTCTGTGAGAGGAAGCTGGGGTTTGTGGTTCCTGTTTTGCCTGGGGACAAGGAGTGGGAGGGAGGAGGGAGTTGGTAAGAGCTCTGGCTTCTTATTTCAGGGTCATTAATGCTTCCCCAAGGTGAAAGGGGCTGGGTTGGTGGCTTCAATGCCTGTTCCTTCACCTGTAGTCATTCTTGTGAAACAAAACTTGTCTAAGTTTTTATTGTGGTCATTTCTGTCTACCTCTCAATCTCCTGTGAGTTTCTTGAGGGCAGAGACCATCTATGACACGTTGCTAAATTTCTAGAACCCTGCATGGGTAGTAGGACCCCATTTTTCATTGGTGGATGACCTTGGAAGAAGACCAAAAGGAGTACATATCAAACAGCCCTCTGAGGGCCTGGTGCTGAGAAAGAGGTGATACAGGTGGGCACCAGCTATTGGAAGACCACGGGAGAGATTAGCAAGGGAAGGAGGTGATGGAGAAAATTCAGAATGCCGCTTTACCACCTAGAGGAAGGTAAGAGAATCCACTCCTTACTTGGGACTATGTAAAGTAACATTGATCAACACCACTTCCCCTAGTCCCCTTCCTACTTCCCACAGTCCTACTTCCTAAATTCCCAATTAGAGAAATGAGATGAGATCACAGAATCAGAATGTTGAGACTTAGAGTCATTTGGTCTAAGCACCTTTTGTGCAGGCAGGACTCTTGCAGCAGCCTGCTCAGCCAGCATCCCTGTCCCTGGTACTCTAATTCTTATTCCTAAAAGCATCTCTGGGGTCACCTTTACGTCTAACTTTGTATGATCATCAGTAACTTTCCTTTTTGTTTTTCCCTCTGTAAAACCGGGGTTTGGACTACTGTGATGTTCTCTGGTCCTAGGATAATTTGGGAAAGGGATCTTTTAACGCTTTAGATACTGCCAATAAATAATTTTTGAAATCCTCTTAGGTGGGTGTTACCTTTACATTCAGTTACCTTTACAACCTGAGGGCAACAGACAGGCATAAGAAAGACCGGAAGCTGTCCATCTTTGTTCCCAGACAGAAACAGTACCGTCTGAAATGAGAAACAAAGTAACCATATTTGTTCCTGGCAAATGGAGGCCGTGAGAACAGAAGCCGCGCACAGCCATGATTAGTGTTTGCTGAATACAGTCACGGCCTTGGCGGCGTTAATCTAACAATAGGGCTCTTCTTGCTGATCCCACCCACTTCAGTTTTAAGCCAGCGATTCCAGGGTTTTCCTGGCCACTCTGGGTTCGCCACGCGGCAGCTGGGAAAGCCTTGAGCGAACACAGTAACAAGACCAGGAAGTTGCGAGGACCTCAGAGCACGTGATGGGGGACCCGCTGGTGCTGTCACGTGGCCGGCCAGCCTGCGGTTCCCTGTTGCGGAATGTTCAGCTGCTCTTAAAGGTACAGGCTGCAGGGACCCTTGCTTTAGAAGGGGCGGGGGCAGAATCGGAGGGGTGGGGCGTACTGGGGCCTGCGGGAGCGCAGATCCCTGGTGTAGAGTAGTGGGTCCGGGGCGCAAGTGCAGCCGAGAAGCCGCAGCTGGGACTGGTAGTGGGGCGTTGATCTTTCCCACATGTTGCAGACCCGCATCTGCCCCACCGGAGCCAACTCTGAGCTTTCGCTGACTTTGGACCCCTCGGGGGACCTGAACTTGATGCCATGGGAGGCTGTGCAGGCTCGCAGCGGCGCCTTTCAGATTATGAGGGTGAGTATTACGGACCACCCTGTGCCCCGCGACCACAAGACAAGCTCGGGAGCCGGCTTGACTGTGAAAGAACACTCGTGGAGTCATCCTACACCTGAGAGTCGTGTGGGAGTCATGCCTTCTTCTCGCCCTCCCAGGAGAGGTGTCTGACCCGGAACCTCGTCCCATTCTCCTGGACCGGCAGGACGCCCATTGGAAGAACATGATCGGCTTCTGGTAAGCGGCTTGAAGAGTTCAATACAAGTAAAAATGGGCAGAAACAAGGAAGCGACAGAAGAGGAAAGAAAGGGTTGAGCCACGGAAAAAAAGAGCTCTTTCTAAAAGAGCTCTTTTCTTTTAGAAAAAAGAGGTGAATCCACAAATATTTAGTGAACCAATTGGTTTTCCCTGAAGCAATATGTAAATTTCCCAAACTTAAATCATTTACTTACCACCTTGGTGTTTTGGCCAGATCCTTATACCACCTGTAGGATTATTGTTTTTATTCCAACCTATTAAGCCTTTACATTTGTAAATATATGTATTGTTTAAGGAAAACTTTAAATCACTATTCTACATAAAAAGCCATTATTTTCCTAGTGCACATTTAAATAAATACATAACTACTTTTTAAAAAATCCTCACCCAAGGATATGTTTTTATTGCTTTCAGAGAGAGAAGAAGGGAGAGGGGAGGGTGGGAGAGAAACTTCAATGTAATTGCCTCCCATGCATCCTGACGAGGGCTGGTACCCACAACACTTAGGTGTACAGGAAGACACTCTAACTGAGCCACCCAACTGGGGCATATCACTACTTTTTAAAAGATCGTCCACCCACCTCCAAAAACCTTTTAAGTACTGCTGAGCTTTGGGAATACTTCTAGCACTTATCTAAACATCAAGGACTTGGGTGGCACACTGGATTGGAAGTGACTTTCCATATGACACTAGTCACATAGCCTCTCTGAGCCTCAGCCTCTCAGCAGTGAAATGGGAAGAGTAATAGCAGCCCTTCATAGGCTTGTGAAAAGGACACATGAAATCTGTGGTGCTGGGCCCAGGTCCATTCCCATCACTGAGTACAGCTCTGGGAGATGAGAGCAAGCAAACAAGCTCCTTTATGGATCATAAAGGACTCTGGTATTATCTTGTGTTGATCCCTACTTCACTCTGCAAGGTAGAAGAGAAATTTGTATGCCTGCTTTACACAGGAGTGGACCTAGGCCACTCAAGTAGAAAGCGGCGGATGTGGGACCTGGACAGAGTCCTTAGGTGTCAAGCCCCAGGAGCCTTCTGCTGTGCCACAGTGCATCAGAGGCAGTGGGTCAGTGGCTGAGAAATGCCCCAGGAACTGGTGGGAGCTCACAGGAACCGTCATCCAGGATGCCTTCCTTCTCTTCCTGGGAGAAGTCTGGGAGATTAAATGTGAACCCAAGTGTGTGATTCCAAAGCCCCTATTTCTAACCCTAACACTGAAGGAGATGAGGTCTGGTGTTAGAGAAAAAAGTAAAAGCTGATTGAAGGAAAAGGGGAGGTTCGGTGCTAGCACTGTGGATAGATTATAGGCTGAAAAGTTAAGATCTGTTCTTATATGTCAATTACATCTCAGTAAAACTGGGAGAAAAACAAAGTCTGTCCTGCTCACTCCAGGCTCCTGGGCCTTTGCAACAACTTCTCTTATGTGGTGATGCTCAGTGCTGCTCATGACATCCTTAGCCACAAGAGGACACCTGGGAATGAAAGCCATGTAAGCGACCCTCCCTGTGTTTAGTCCCTGTGGGAACATGAGGGACTCACCCTGGGGCAGAGGCTCCCTTGAAAAACTCATGGAATGGGGTATCTAAGGGTGGGGCAAGAGGCCAAAATTTCCCAGTCTCCCAGATGGCAGAGCATGAAGGGTGTTTAAGAATCAGTTAGTGCCACGTGTACAAACTCAGATGTTGCCTGTGTAGAACCATGGCTAATGGCAGAGTTTCTTAACCCTCACACTTAACATTTTAGGCCAGATAATTCTCTATTGTGGGGCTGTCCTATGCATCGTTGGATATTTAGCAACATCCCTGGCCTCTTCACTAATGCTAGTAGCACCCCCTCTCCACTAGTTGTGACATTCAAGAATGTCTCCAGGCATTTCCAGATGTTCCCTATGGGATCTAATCACCTTCAGTTGGAAACCTCTTGTCTATGAGGAGCTTGGAGGGCACGTGCCCAAGCAGAGCAGCTGCCACCTTGCAGGTCCAATAGGGAATTTGGTCCAAAATCAGACTTACTGGAAACCCAGTTTCTAATGAAAATTCCTGAATGTGTTACCTAAGTAAAGTCCATCTACAGGGCCATGTTTGGCCTGTGGATCATTCTATGGAAACCTCCTCCTTCCCGTTGTACACATAGAGAAACTGAGGTCCAGGAGGCCAGTGCTGACGCAAGGCCATCCTTCAAGTGAGAGCAGAGCTAGGACTGGAGCCAGGCCCTGTCTGTCTAGACCCTTTTGCCACCCGGGGTGAGAGACTGTCTTTCTTCCTATCAGGTAGACCCAGACCCAGTTCCCACCCCTCACAATAACTCATCTCGATTTGACTGCAACTCTGTCTCCACAGCTGTGAGTAACCTTCTGGTCCTCCCCTGACCCCCACCCCTACCACCTCCGCATCCAACTGGGACTGTCCTAATTATAATCATGAAGACTGCCATTTCCTGACCCCATTCTGTGTGTAGCTGATCTTGGTTCATTTAAGCTACACAACAGCACTGTGGACTAGGACCACGATCATCCCCCATCTTCCAGATGAGGAAACTGGAGCTCAGAGAATGTGAATACCTTGACACACAGCTAAGGAGCAGCAGGGCTAGGACCTGACCCACATCCGCATTCAGAGAGTATGCTTGTAGCAGGTCTAATTAGCTCGTTTCTGTCTTTCCGTGGCCGCTGGTTCAGAGGTTTGTCCCTGGGAAGGTCTGGGGTCTCATTCTGTCCTCCTGTCTCAGGCAGTGCTCCTGGCAGACATCCTCCCCACGCTCGTCATCAAATTGCTGGCTCCTCTTGGCCTTCATCTGCTGCCCTACAGGTCTGGGTGGGGATGATGGGAGGAAGGGCGGTTGGGATCTGTGAGGAGGCCGGGAGGGCGAAGGAGAGGAGCTGGAGCTGACCTTCCCCTCTCCTGTTCCCCCTCCACTCAGCCCCCGGGTTCTCGTCAGTGGGGTTTGTGCAGCTGGAAGCTTCGTCCTGGTTGCCTTTTCTCCCTCAGTGGGAATGAGCCTGTGTGGTGAGCATGAGATTTTGTATCAGGTGGGGGACCCCAAGGAACTGCAGCCGAGCATCTGTGGGAAGTAGTCTCCCCCAACTCCTCAGAGGAAGTGGGTTATCTTTGTAACCCTCAGAGGCTGCTAGGACTGCACAAGTAGGAGATGGGAGATGAGGTCAATTTGGAGGGATAAGCGGTGGGGGAGATGGGAGGAAATGATGGGTTAGATAGAGACTGAGATGCACAGAGGAACGAAGACTCCATCACCGGGGGGGGGGGGGTGGAGGAGGCGTCCGGAAAGAGTTCTTGCTCCTGGTTTGGACACCCGGTGTCAGTACCATTCCCTGTGAGAGGACATTCAGAGACGGCTTGGTTCTGCTCTGAAACTGGATCTCTGCCCATCCAAGGGTCTAGGTTGTGGGTTGTTTTGGTTTTGGTTTTGGTTTTGCCTCTCTGAGCTGATGTAGAGGAGGCCATGGCCAGACACCTTAAGGGATTGGAGCTATTGGGAAAAGGAGAGGTGTGGCCACTGTCGCGCTTGTCCTCTCCCCCCAGGTGTGGTCTTTGCTAGCATCTCATCAGGCCTGGGGGAAGTCACCTTCCTCTCACTCACTGCCTTCTACCCCAGGTAAGTGAGCAGAGCAGGCAGTGGGGAGAGGAGCTCCCGCTACTGGTGTTGGTCCTTTTTAGTGCTCCAGTGTTCTTCTTCTCAGGGCTGTGATCTCGTGGTGGTCTTCAGGTACTGGGGCCGCAGGGCTGCTGGGGGCATTGTCCTACCTGGGCCTCACCCAGGCCGGCCTCTCCCCGCAGCGCACCCTGCTGTCCATGCTGGGTATCCCCATCTTGCTCCTGGCCAGGTAAGCTGCCCTGGGCTGGAAGGAAGAAGTATTTGAGGAAAGGAAACCAGATCATGGTCCCTTCCAGTCTGAGATCCCTACAGTCTTCTTATGAGGGATGAAGGTTCTGGACTCTGATAAGCCTGGGTTCGAGTCTGGAGCTGCCACTTGTTAGCTGTGTGGTATGGAACAAGCTGCTTTACCTCTCTGACCCTCAGTTTCCCCACATCTCAAATGGTAGTCAGCTTCCTTGCTTTCCTGTAAAGTGACATACGTGGAGCATCCAGTACAGTCTGGTTCCCGAGGTGATTTGAGGGAGACCAGGGTGGGCTTACTAATTTTATGTATGTATGTGTATTAGGAAAAAATGTTAACCAGTCAGTCAAACCTGTGATTTCACAGATTACTGTTTAGGTCAAGGCCATGTAGAAAAAGGGAATCAATTGAAAGGAAAGTATTAAGTAAAAAATAATACACACAGGAGGAATATGGATACGATAAATAGCATGAAGACAAAACATGAGTGAAATTTTGGAAGTTTTAGTCTAGCACAGAATGACCACATCATAAATGGTAGCTAGAGCAGTCACTACAATAATAATGTCAAGAAAACAGCTGCCTTAGTTAGTGTGAGCCAGGAGTCAAAACAAGGGCCCGGGGGTGGGAGTAATAAGGAAGCAAGTTTCAGCTCCAGAGAAAGAAGTGTTTTCTACAGTTGGAGCTCTCTAGCACAGGCTGGGGGGCCTCAGAGCAATGTGGAAATGAGGGGAGCTGCTGTGGAAGGGAGTGGCCTTTCCCTCCTGACAGAGGCTCTTGGACCTTGTCTCATTCCACCTCCCCCTAGCTATTTCTTTTTGCTCACATCTGCCGAGCCCCAGGACCCTAGAGGGGAGGAAGAGGCAGAGAGGGCAGCCCGGCAACCGCTGATGGGCAGCGAGGCCCCAGAGCAGCAGTCAAACCCAGGTAGGAGATACGGGAGGTCCTCAGAGTGCTGGGCGTCAGTCTTCCTCTCTAGAGTGGACAGTGGGAAGGGGGAGTGGATGTGTGTGCTGGTTATGGTGAGAGCCAATCACATTCATCTATGCGAGGAATCCTCACAGAGTGCTTACTATGTGCCAGGCATTTCAGTCATTGGGGGCACCGTGTAAGCAAGGTAAGAAAATGAGGCAGACTCTAACAACGGAATCAAAAGTGTGCTGTTCACATATTGATAAGTGCTGGAAGGACAGAACACAGTGCTGTGCTGGAAGATGACCACTCATGGGAAATGGGGAGGGGTTCTACTTAGAGCAGGTGGTCAGTGAAAGTCTTTTTAAGGAGGTGTTGGGCCAAAATGTGAGTGACAAGGAATCAGCCCCGTGAACATTAGAGTGAACAGGTTCCAGGTAGAGGGAACAGCAAGTGCTGAGGCCCTGCGTTGGGAACGAGCCTGGATGTTCTAGAAACAGAGAGAAGGGGTCAGTGTGGCTGGGGTGGGGACGTATAGCCATCAAGCCGTACAAGAGCTATGAAGAGGTCTCTGCTGGGTTGTTTTTTTTTTTTTTACTTGTGGTGGAATATACATAATGAAATTACGTGTTAATATACCAACTTAACCATTTTAATTGTACGATCCAGTGCATCACACTGTCATGCTGGCTGGCTGATTCCTTCCCACGAGCACTCCTTGGCTCAGTCTGCCAACCTCACCTGCCTCTCTCTCCCTGCTCCTCTGCAGACTCCAGCACAAGCCTCTCTTTTCAGGAGAAGTGGACTGTGTTCAAGGTATGGACAGTGGCTGTGGCCTGTCCCCATCAGTGGCCAGCACCTGTCTCCCAGCCTTCCACTTATGTTATGTCTTCCCACGCGTCTAGGGCCTGCTGTGGTACATCATCCCCTTGGTCCTGGTTTACTTTGCTGAGTATTTCATCAATCAGGGACTTGTGAGTAAGGGCTGACAGGAGGGGTGTGGAAGCAGAGATCTAGATGGGGACTCACACGTCCCTATTCATCTCCCCTGTCTGGTCCTTGCCACAGTTTGAGCTCCTCTTCTTCCGGAACACGTCCCTGAGTCACGCTCAGCAGTACCGCTGGTGAGAACCCTGAGGTTGGGTGGCAGGATGGGCAGTCTGCTGGGAGGGCCGCGGGGTAGAGGTGCTGCTGTGTGAACAGGCGCTGGAGGGGCTTCCTTCCACTCCCTGCCCCTGTCTAAGGTACCAGATGCTGTACCAGGCCGGCGTCTTCGCCTCCCGCTCTTCTCTTCGCTGCTGTCGCATCCGTTTCACATGGGTCCTGGCCCTGCTGCAGGTACCAGGCCTCTGGCCTTTGCTCCTTCCCCACCTTAGCTCCCAGCTTCCCCAGTGCTTCTGTCCATTATCAGGAAGTGTGCATTGCTCCCTGTCGTGTTCTCAGTGCTAGGACAGAAGGGCAGCAGGGTTCCGCATCCAGCGTGTCTTCCGGGGCCAGGCAGTCCCGGATGGAAATCCCAGTGTCTGTACTCGGGCTTTGTGATTGTGGCCAGTCTCTGAAACAGTTTGAGCCTCAGTTTCCTCATCTAGAAGTCAGGCCAGGCTAACACCTGCTTCTCAGGGTAGTTTGAAGAAATACAGATGAGAAGAAGGGTGAAAAAGCAGTTAGAATCGCTCATTTAAGGATTATTTTGCACAAGCCTCATGCAGAGACACAGGCTTTCCTGTATTTCTAACAGTAAAAACATGCACCGCTCTTTTGCTCTGCACGGTTAGTTGTAATAATAGAGTCAGTGACGTTGCACTCATCCAGTTGTTTAGCTCAAGACATTTCAACTACCCATGACAAAAGTAATTTTACAGCTTTAGAGAAACAAACATCTTTCCCTGTGACAGTCTAAGAAAAGTACCTTTACAAAACCAGCATTTGCTGTTTCTTCCGCCCTGAAGGTGACTATTAAAATAAACTTTCAAATATTCTAGGAAAGTTTTTTTACCCTTTTCAATTTACTTGAATCTATATCAAGATATAGACTAAGTATAGATTATACTCTAATGTTATGGAAACAGCATGCAAATATCCTCTAACTTTCTCCTTTACTTTTTTAAGCAGCAGCGCCAGCCCAAGGCTTTGTTGCCCCAAAGTCCCAAATCGTGGTGTCAACAATTCTTAACTCGGGATTCTTCATTAGATGCTGCTGAAATGTGGTTTATGATTTGAGTTATAATCTCAGCCGAGGCTGCTTCATAGAAATAGGGGCTTATAATCACTTAATTCCATTACAGAAAGTGTCTGGCCTAACACCGCAGTTGAAAGCGTGTACAGTGTTTCGCAGGTCACATTAGTGTTACCAGAGCGTGTACTTTTAAGTGCAGATTTCTGAGCCCAGCTCAGATGAATGAGAACCTCTGAGGCCCAGGCTTGTGTGGGTAACAAGGTTCTCAGGTGATCCTCTTGTGCACCAAGCATGTGAACCGCCCTGGTGGTAACCCCTGGCACTCAGGGATGGGACATTGGGATCCCTTGAGGGACTGGGGTACAGAGGAGGGACCTACATCCCTGGGTGGTATCAGAGAGGCTTCCTAAAAGAGGTGGGAACATCCAAGCCAGCATTTCTCAACCTCAGCACTGGGGGCCACATCATTCTTTGCTGTGGGCTGTCCTGTAGGGTGTTGAGCAGCCCCTCTGGCCTCCACGCATTAGATGCCTGTAGCAACCCCCACGCCCCTTGTGACAACCAAGAGCATCTCCAGACATTGTCAAATGTCCCCTGGGCCGCAAAATCAGGCCCAGTTGAGAACTATCCTCAGTGCGGTAAACAGGGAAAACTATCCAGGGAGCTTTTGGGAGGAGAAAGGAGATCACAGGATTAAGTGATGCTGATCCACGCCGACCTGGGAACAGCGCAACCAGATCCCAAGTGAAGGAAGGTGGAATGGCATTCCAGGGGGTAGGAATGAAATGGGCCAAGGGGTGAGGGAGGAGCCCCACTCGGTCTGAGTGCTGGGACAGGGTAGGAAGAAGGCGTGCCCTAGATCCCAGGGTCTGGTAGGCTGGCTGGGTGCTAGGGTTTGACCCAAGCCTGCCAGCCCTCTCCTTCATCAGCATCTCCGAGAACTGGGCCCGGAAGGGATGGCAGCCTCCCTTTCTGCCTGCCACGGGTCTCTGGCTCAGCCCCCCCTCCACCTCAACCACAGTTCTTCAACCTGGCCTTCCTGCTGGTGGACGTGTGGTTGAGCTTCCTGCCAAACATCTACCTCGTCTTCGTGATCGTCCTGTATGAGGGGCTCCTGGGTGGTGCTGCCTACGTGAACACCTTCCACAACATTGCCCTGGAGGTCAGCACCAGTCAGGCGAGGGCTGTATGTGGCCTTTTGGGGGAAAGCCAGGGCAGGGGTGTGGAGGGCTGAAGCTTCATCCTTGTTCCCCGCCCTCCACAGACCAGCGACAAGCACCGGGAATTCGCCATGGCAGCCACCTGTATCTCTGACACCTTGGGGATCTCTCTGTCAGGGCTCCTGGCCCTGCCTCTGCATGACTTCCTCTGTCACCTCTCCTGACACTGGGCTCGGAACACAGGATACACTGATAGGTGGGCAGATCAGACCCCAGGCCTACAGCCCGGAGCCCATCCATAAGCTCCGCCCCTGGACTTTGCTGCGTGACTGGGCTGTAGAGAAGAAGCGCTAAGGTTCCGCTTTCCTTGGAGCAAGGGGCAGCAGCTTTCTCCCACTCCACGTTCACTTGGGGTCCTTGGCATCATGCCCTCGGAATAAACGCCTCTATTATTGATTGACTCCTGTGCCATTTTTCTCCGTGAAACAAAATTTATTACAAAAGTAACACCAGCCCACATTGGGATATATACAGGAGAGTGAAAGGATAGCATTTTAGCAGATTTCTACCTAGTCTTTCAGGTGTATTCATTCACTCACTGTGCCGTCACAGGGACTCTCTCACTGTATGAGGCAGTCTGTATACATTTCTCTCCAACATCTAAGTTTTCAAACATGCAGAGAAATTGAAAGGATTTGTGCAATAAGTACTCATGTAGGTACTGCCTAGGTTCTACAGTGATCATTCTCCTATTACTGCATCAACGCAGATGCAGCCCTCCAGCAGTGCAGCTTATTTTTGTAATGCACGTCAAAGGAGGCTGGGAGCTGCCTTTCGGGCATTCCTCACATGGAGACTCATTCTGCTGGGGCAGCTGTGGCAGCTGTGAAGACCCAAAGCACCCGGGCTGATGTGGCTCAAGCCCAGGCAGCGTTGATCAACATCAGTGTGGCCTGTGGACTACAGAATATTCTGAGGACCAACTTGGGACCTGAAGTCACCATGAGGTTGCTTGTTTGTGGTGCTGGAGACATCAAGCTTACTAACAGCGGTGTGCTGCCTCATGACATGAAAATTCAACACCCTACAGCCTCCTTAATAGCTAAAGTAGCAACAGTCCAGGATGACAACTGGTGATGGTACCATTTGCAATTTCCTAATTACTGGAGAATTGCTGAAACGTGGATCTCCATTTTTGAAGGTCTCATCCTAAAGTAATAACAGTATTTGAAGTTGCACAGGAAAAGGCACTTCAGTTTTTAGGACAACTCAAAGCAAAGAGATGGATAGGGAAACGCTCGTAGATGTGGCCAGAGCATCCCTGTGTACTAGAGTTCATGCTGAACTTGATGATGTCTTGGCAGAGGCTGTAGGTAACTATGTTTTGATGATTAAAAAAAAAGATGAAGTTACTGGCCTCTACATGGTTGAGATCATGGAGTAGAAACAAATCTGAAACCGGCACAAGCTTAACCAGAGATCTTGTTTTGGACCATGGGGCATGGCTTCCTGATACAAAGGAAAGAGTGGAAGATGCATACATTTTCACATCCAATGTATCATTAGAATGTGAAAAAGGTGTGGCCCAGTGGATTGAGTGCAGGCTTGTGAACCAAAGGGTTGCCAGTGTGATTCCTAGTCAGGGCACATGCCTGGGTTGTGAGCCAGGTCCCCAGGTCCCCAGTAGGGAACCTGGGCCAGGTCCCCAGTAGGGGGCACATGAGAGGCAACCACACATTGCTGTTTCCCTCTCCTCTCTCTAAGAAATAAAGAAAATCTTTTTTAAAAATTCCTCTTAAAAATATGAAAAAGGTGAATTCAGGCTTGTTTTTCACAAGGGTGCAGAAGAGAGGAATTGGTAAAAACAAGGAAAATTCATTGAAGATAGAGTTAAAAAATAGAACTGCAAAAAGAAAGTCTGTAGTGACTTAGATAAAGGATTTATTAGTTAAAAGGGAATTGACCTATTGTATTCAGATGCTCTTGTAGAAGGAGGCAGAGCTGCTCTCCACGGAGCTAAGAGGAGAAATGTGGCAAGGCTGGCTCTTGCCTTTGGTAGGGTAGCTCTTTCATGACCTAACTTCTGATTGGGACATGCAGGGCTTGTCTATGAATATACATTGGGAGAAAAGAAGTTTGCCTTTATTGAGAAATGGTTACAAGCCCTCGCTTGCTCTGTCACATTTTTTGGTCAAAAGACCAAATGAGCACACACTCAAAGGTGCAATAAGATGTCTTGGGGCCTATTAAAAATGCTGTGGATGGCTGTGTAGTTCCAGGCACTGGTTCAGTGGAAGTGGCAATGGTAGAAGCCCTAAGTACAAGCTCAGTGCAAAAATACAGGCAGGGCCCAATTTAGAGTTCAAGCATTTGCTGGTGCTCATTTGCTCATTATTCCCAAGGTTCTTGTTCAGAACTCTAGTTTTGACCTTCAGGAAACATTAGTTAGAGTTTAAGTTGAAATTCAGAATCAGGTTAACTTGTGGGTGTGGACTTGAACACAGGTGAACCAATGGTAGCAGCAGAAGCAGGTGTATGAGGTAGCTATTGTGTAAAGAAACAGCTTCTTCACTCCTGCACTGTGACTGCCACCAACATTTCCCTGGTCCATGAGGTCACACGAGGTGGAGTGTCTTCTCTAAGAGGTGACATTGAAGCTCTCCTTGCATCATCTGAATCATCAGTCCTTGCGTGGGTGTCCAACCCCAGGCCATGGATGGCTATGAATGCTCCCCAACACAAAATTGTAAATTTACTTAAAACCTTTTTTTTGCTCATCAGTTTTCATTAGTGTTTGTGTATCTGATGTGTGGCCCCAGCCACTCTTCTTCCAGTGTGGCCCCGAGATGCCGAAAGGTTGGGCACCGCTGCTACAGAGTGATCCTGAGAATATAGCTGTGGAATTTTTGTCCAAGCTACCGATGACTTTCAAAGAATTTTCTCATGTGAAGAAAGGAGAGAGTAATGGCACCTATTCAAATTCCAAAGTCTGAAATTACAATTAAAGTGTTTTTTAAACGGCACTCAGTGCGTGCAGGTAAAGCAGACCATTTTCATCCAATAAACAGGATGTTTTGCTTCAGTGATACACAAATATCACTGTTTGAGAAACACTGTTATCTCCCTTATTAAGTATTCCTTGAAAAACAAATTTAATGGTTTAATAATGTCTCCTAATGATTTATTTTAATTTCACATTAAGCATTTAAGTTTAATTTTTTATGTTAGTATAAATAACACTTAAGTAACTTAAGTTATGAAAGCATCCTGTTTCCTTAGTGTAAATTACTGTGAGTGCTTTTGAAATAGCTTTGCTAAAATGCTCCCCAGGAAAGTGAAGTGGTAGTGGGTAGAGAGATGCGTCAACTGGAGGCGGGGAAATTGAAGGAGCTGCAAGTATAAAGTGGCAAAATAAACACCGAGGAGGCAGAGGGAGAAGGATGGCTGGAGGGACTGAGCTAGTGAGACGAGATGGTCAGGTAGACCTTAGTTTCATGCCTCTGAACATTTGCCTGTGCTGAAATATCCATCCCAAAGCCTCTGGTGTCATGTTTTTCTCACTTACATTAATCTCTCTGTGTTTTCACAAAATCATTCTTATACAGTTGGTATATTTCTACAGTCCTCGAGGGTGAAATTCTGTTGCTAAGCTTTGCATTCTGAAGACTTCACAGTGAGTGTGCAATAAATGTGTTTACCTTGAAGAAAAAGTAGGAGGCTCACTTGAATCCACGTCCCTCTACATGCTTCAGTGTGCACAATATTAACTAGAATCCAGTGTTTTTGTACAGTCCTTTTTAAGGTAAAATTTATATACAGTAAAATGTACAGATGGTTGTATATTTTTTAAGTAGCCGAGGTGGGCTTAGCAGTGTTTTCCATACTTCACTGCTACCATCTCTACCATATTTGCCACATCTATGCATTACAGTACTTTCATCAAATATTTTTTATAATGTGACTAACTTTTAATAAATTGTTATTTTAAAGGGAAACAATGTTACTATTGAAGTCATGAGTTTGAAGTGCTAGTTATATATTTTTTCTCAGGCACATTAAAATAAATACATACCTATGGTGTTTAAAATGAACACCCCAGTACCCACTGAGACTACCCTATCGCTGCTGGTGATGGTAGTGGCCCACACACAGGGAAATACGGTCATGATGGTTGACAGAATGGGCTTTGGAGGCAGAGAAACCTGACTCTTGGGTCTCAGTTCTGCCATTCACTAGCCCCCTAATTTTGGGCAAATCCCTTCATCTCTCTGCCCCTCAGTTTTCCAATCTGTCAAATGGGGATAATGCTAGTACCAACACATCATAATGTGGTTGTGGAGATTATGTGAGATCATGGGAAAGCACAGTCAGCACTCAATAAATGTCAGCTTTGATCATGCTATGGTTTGAATCCTGCCTTTACCTTTTACACTGTATTATGCCAGTGGTTCTCAGACTTAAGTGTGCACCAGAGGACTTCTTAAAAATACAGATTGCTGAGCCCAGCCCCAGAGTCTCTGACGGAGGGAGCATGGCGTGGGGACCAAGAGCATTCCTATCATTTACCCCAGGGCTGCTGCTGCTGCTCTTGAAGAACCACACTTTGAGAAATGCTTTTCCTTTTTAAACAAATCTTCATAAGTCTTTTCTTTCTTTTTGGTTCAATAAACTTATGCATATATTCTTCATGCCAGGAACTTTTTTGCGGTAAATACAAACACATCATACTTTTAGGACTCTAAGATACACCGGACCATAAGACGCACCTATGTTTTAAAGGAGAAAAATAAACATTTTTTTAAGCAAAAAATGTGGTAAAATATTTAGTAACCTGTGACCCCGCTCCACCGCCCCCCCCTCACAGCAAGCCAGGTAAGCTACATTCAGACTATAAGACTCACCCCATTCTCCTCCCAAATTTGGGGAGGAAGTGCATCTTCTAATCCAAAAACACGGTAGGTTTCATTTGTGATGGGTGAGTAATATTTCACCACAATGGCTCTTTACCATGTAGTCATTCTATTAATGTTGGTCATTTAACTTTTTTTTTTAAGATTCTTATTTATTTTTAGACAGAGGACAAGAGTAGGAGAAAGAGGAGAGGAACATCAGTGTGTGGTTGCCTCTTGGTGCCCCCTACTGGGGACCTGGTCTGCAACCCAGACATGTTCTCTGACTGGGAATCGAACCAGCGACCCTTTGGTTCATGGGCCAACTCTCAATCCACTGAGCCACACCAGCCCGGGAGCTTGATTTCATTTATCGCTATTATTAAAAATAAACCTCTGTGCATTATGTATTTTCTACATATGAGTATTACTTTAGGATAGATTCTCGAAACTGAAATTTGTAGGAATAAGCATTTCTTTAGGTTGATGTCGCTGCGTTGTTTTTTGAAAGGTTTTTCTGTTTGTTTGTTTTACTGTATATGCAGCAGTTGTTTGTCACATCACCTTCCTT